GCGTGAGTGGTGCTGCTACTGTAGACTAGTGGATTTAGGAAGAGAAAATCCCCCTTGCCTCCATAAATAGCTCAAGCTTGAGTAACAGCCATGAATCTTGTGCACCCAAACCATTGCTTATTAACATATTATTTCTCAGCTTGTGAACAATATAAGAGGGAGCCTCTTATGGGATTTAATTTCAGAGATTTTGCTCATTGCCCCTGGCAGTGACTCCCTACCAAAACTTTCTGAATTAAAATCTGTCTCTTGGTGGATACACAAAAGGGAGAGGATGGCCTTAACCTACTTCAGTTAGGAGGAGAGTCTTCCTTCAAGTTTCTTTTTGAAGCTCCCATATTTTTCAATGTTTTAATTTATATTATTCTTTATACATTCAATTGCTCTACATCATTTAGATTGTAAAGAGACTTTACCCGGCACCTTACATATCATCCTGATTCTGGGAAGCAATGCAGTGTCTGAGACTTGAGATCTGGAACTTTTCAGTGAGGCTGGCTCTCTAGCATGAGGCAACACAGCAGTACAGTAGGAAGGTCTTTCATGATGCAAATGTCAAGTTTGTAATGTGTTGTGTCCCTATTAGCATACAGCGAGACAGACAACACCACTAATTGCCAGTGAACATGGTTTAGTATTTCAATGAAGTGGCATACAGGGGTGAAACAGTGTTATTTGACACTGCCCCATGAGCATGGCCAAGTTGGCTTTTGCTCTGGTCTGCGCCTGGATGAGCATGTCTCTTGATACCTACTTGCATGTGTGTCCATGTACAGATTACGACAAGAGCCCTACCTAATCCTTGCACCTCGTAGGTACCAAATCAGTGTTAGTGGTATTTATGAGTGTCCAGTTCCACCTATCTTACATTATTTTTCACTTGAAGTACACACACACACACACACACACACACACACACACACAATGTGTGTATGAATGTGTATTTTTAATTATTGTCAGTCACTCCTATGAGAGCAAGGACCATGTTTGTTTTAATTATCACTGTATCACCCTCCTTAAACATAGTGCTGGGCCTGTAGCTGGTGCTTAATAATTATTTAAGGATTAAATAAAGGAAAGAAAGAATAACGAGATGACCAGGGGCCTGACTTCTGGGTTAAACTCCTTCATTTAATTAACCACGTGACCTTGTTTAAATCTCATACTTAATTTTGGAGCTGGAAATCAGCTCGTTGGATGATTGCAAACTTTATTTTAGCAGTGGAATTCAAACTAAAGCATACATGAAATCTGAACACTAAGGCACATGCAAATATTCTTATATTTAAAATATATATATGTTTTATATATATACACATATACATATATATATATATATTATATATATATATACACACACACACACACACACACACACACACACATATATATATAGGCTGGAAATCCTACCTGTTCATCCTTTGCTTTTATTTCTACACTGCAGTGGTTTCTATGGCTACTTTAATTAGTCTTTAGGATTTGGGGCATAGGTTGAAAACATCTGATCCACATCAATCCTATCATTTTATAAACTGTAAGGTGGAATCCAGGAGAGGAAGAGGCTTGCCTAATGTCATAACACCAGTACACCAAGAATTGGAATCAGTATCAAGACATCATGACCCCCAACCTGATTAGCAACTTTCACCTTTCAGCAGTTCTGAAATCATCTCCAAAATATTCACAAAATTATTTGATTGTGAGAAAGAATGTTTAGAAAAGCCCTTCCCACACTCTGAAACACTCTACTTTGAAAGTCACCCTGGGGATGCAGGTGGGATCCATCATAACAGCTGAAAGGGGACTGTGAGACCAAAGACGTCAGTACTTAAATCCTATCTCCATTCTCTATGAATCTACAGCATATGGCAACATACTGAACATGCTCGAATCCTGAAGTCCTGGTTTTACCATCTGTGAAATGACAAGGCTCCACTACCTCATCAAGTATGTGGGAGTTGACCATCCTTCCTTCATGGCACATTGTGAATACTCAGTAAAGGGCTGTTACTGTGGATTACTCAGCATATGTGGGTCTATTCAGGGTACCTATTTGAGTATAATTTATTTCTTTTCTTTTTCTGTATTTTTTTGAATTTTTACCATAAGGAATGTTCAGTTACTATAGAGAGAGAGAGAGAGAGAGGGAGATAAAGAAGGAAAATGAAGAAGGCTCCCCTGGAGAAATGACCACACTACAATCCCTTCTTCTCCATTTACCTTTTGAGATTTTGACCATGCATACACATACCCCTGCCATGTTCCTCAAGCTCCTAGATTCAGGACTTGAACCACATAGCTGGCCATGTGGGATACAGCCAACTTAACCACCACACAACTGTCTGGCCCTAGTATAAATAATTTCAACAGCAAAAACAGATGTATACTGATTATCAAAATGGACCATATCTTTTTTTACAAAATTGCATAGTGATCAAAACCATGTGACAGCATAACTACTTATCATGAAGCCCATTTTCCCTCAGTATCTAGCACAGAGGTAGACAATATTTGCTAAGAAACATTAGTAAACAAGAAATATATGCCTATTGTTGTAGCATATTCATTAATGCCTTTATGGATTTACAATCACACTTTCTTTCCAGTTTATGTTCTACCTTTTCTTGGCTACCTGACTTCACTCAAGTCATTCATCTCTTCATCTTTGAAATAGAACTATGAATCCCAATCATCCCAACTTGCAAGTGTCTGGGAAAGGTTCATATGAAAGAGAAAGTGATACATAAAATCAGAGGTTGTTATTAAAATGGATCTTCAAAAAGTGTAACACATATCATGTGTATTATTTTTAAAAGCATGGATTTCAAAAAATCTTTGCATCAAATAAACTGGTACTTTAATTACATTTTTTGGCTAATATTTTGGAGTCTCTACTCATATTTTACACAACAGAAATAAAACAAGATACTTGGATCTTTCTCACACCCTTGCATAAACAGGTAACATGGCAGATGAGGAGAAGACAGTGGCCTCCAGGGGCCATGTGAAGGATAGAGTACCTTCTATGGCTGAAGAAGAAGCCAAAAAAAAAAAAAAAAAGGCAAAAAAAAAGAAGATTAAAGCAACTAGAATAGTGGAGAAAAATGAACGTGAGCAAGAATTAAGAGCCTCAGTGGATGAGGTAGCAAGGCAGTTAGAAAATCAAGCATTGGAAAATAAAGAGAGATGATGATGAAGATGGAGATGGTAATGGAGATGGAACAACTAGAAAGAAGAAGAAAAGAAGATGGGAGGATCAAAAGCTCAAACAGACCCTCCCTCAGCTCTAACATATGACCTGGGTCCTAAAGGTGTATTTCTCAAAGGACAAGAATGTGAATACCCACTCACACAATATGGACCCACAACTGCCTGGGGAACTAAGAGTGAAGAAAAGAAAGCATTAGATCAGGCTAGTGAAGAGATTAGGAATGATTTTTTTGAGAAGCTACAGAAGTGCATTAATAAATTAAAAAAATATGTTTTGAGCTGGATCAAGCTTGGGATGACATTGATAGAAAGCTGTGAGAAGTTGGAATACTGTTCACATGAGCTAATAAAAGAGAATGGATTAGATACAAGTCTGGCATTTCCTACTGGACTTTCTCTCAATAATTGTGCTGCTCATTACTCTCAGTGCAGGGGACCCAAGAATACTACAATATGAAGATCTCTGGGGACCAGCAGTTAGGGTAATGGCTATGTCACTGGACTCCCATGTAGTCGACCACAGTTCAAGTCCCAGACCCAGTGGCTTAAAACACGTTGGGCCCTTGTGCGTGCATGTCAAAGATCCCAAGAGGAGAATGGAGGAGAAGGGATGACAGCATGGCCATCCGTCCAGGGGTTATTTCTTTCTTTCTGTCTCTCTGTCTCTCTCTCTCGCTGTCTGGTGAGCACACGCACTCTATAGCAAAAACCTGTCCAAAAAAAAAGATCTCCATAAGACAGATTTTGGAACATAAATAAATTGTAGGATTATTGACTGTGCTTTTACTGTGTCTTTTAATCCCAAATCTGATACATTATTAAAAGTTGTAAGAGATGCCACTAAGGCTGGAGTAAAGTGTGCTGGAATTTATGTTCATTTATGTGATATTGGTGTGGCTATCTACAAAGTTCTGGAATCCTAAGAAGTTAAAATAGGTGGAAAGACACATCACTTGAAACCAATCTATAATTTTAATGAACATCCAATTGGGTAATACAGAATACTGAGAAAACAGTGCCCATTGTGAAAGGAATGGAGGCAACAAGAACAGAGGAAAGAGAAGTATATGTCATTGAAAACGTTGTTGGAACAGGAAAAGGTGTTGTTCATGAAGATATTGAGTGTTCACATTTCATGTATAATTTCTATGATGGACATGTGCTGATTGGACTTCCATGAACAAAACACTTGCTAAATGTCATCAATGAAAACTTTGGCATGTCTGCCTTCTTCAAAGATAGCATAAGTTATGTAAGTTATTTAATCTAGTTGAGGCTTACTTACCTAATATATAACACAGAAAAAACAGACAGAGCATATATTCAGTGGTTATTAGAAGGTTTAAATGGGATAATGAAAAATAAATGTTAAGTGTCATGCCTGGCATACAATTACGCAATAAATATTAGCTATTTGATTCTCTTCTTGTCACTGTTAACTTCTCGTGCAAAATTAAAACAAGTAAACATAAAACAGTGAAAACAGCCTATAGAAGAGCACAATTCCTTGACCCAGACACACCTTCATACAGCAAAGGCCAAGCCAGTGCCTGACCCTCAAAGCACAATATCAATAAAAGGCTAGTTCAGATCTTACCTGTATATTTTATATCTGGTTGTAAATCCCTGACGGTGTCTTTCCACAAAGGATAGGTAGCTCCTGGAGTGGTGGAAAGGCCCCCTGTCTGAAATAAGCCAATCAAATTCCTTGGAGACATGTTGATCTGTCCCAGCTGGTTCCTGGTGGGAGGGCTGCACTGAGATACGGCCCCATATAAACAGGAAGTAGAGGAGCTCAACAAACCTCCAGTTCATGCTTTTCTGCCGGCCTTTTTCCTCTCATTCTTGCTCCATTCTGTGGAGTCCTGTAGAGAAAAGAATTTAAAAAGAGGGGGAAAACGTAGGGAACAAAGGAGGGGGAGAGAAAAAGGAATGAGGGTAGTAAGGAAAGAGAAAGACAAAGGAAATGAAGAAATGTCATTAATATATCTTCTTTATAATACCTTATCTAAGAAGTGTACAGAAGGTTTATAAAAAATCAGTGTAGTTTCTCATTAAAAGTGTAGAATCTATGAAGATCTGGGCCCATACTCCTGATTTGCTGATCACATCCTATATAAAAATGCACGGACTTGGTCTCTTAGGAATATAGTCCCTTGGTACAATACAAGATGAGCTATAGTGCCTCTATTTTGGCACTTGGCTTGTTATAAATGTTCCAAGCATATACGTTGAAAAAACCTCAATGAAATAAATCAATGCAAAATGAAACTCATTCAGTCAATAAGAGACATGAGGACAGAATTCAGGTATCAGCAGTTCCACCTACTATTCTCATAAACAACCTCCCTCTCAAACAAGAACTTAATAAATAAGAGTCCTTTTCCCTTCTCTTCTCACATAGTCATGAGTTCCCTGAACATACACTTTGTTTCTGCATGATCAAATGAATGATAAAAGTCTTAAGGTGAATTATTATCATGACTATGTGGAGATGAAGAGCTCATAAAGTTTGTTAAGAATGCATTTTTATAATGCTCAATGGAATGTCTCCCCAGGAAAATGTGACCAAAGAATTCATCTGTTGATATCTGTAAGCCTCAAGACTTCCTGATGTTCAGAAGGGAAACCAAAGGCCTAGGGGTTAGGCAGGATCTTGGAGGTCTCTTATGTTGGAGGTATTGTAACACAGAGGTATCTCGTCAAAGAAATCCTTGAGATTGAGGGGTACCCTATGTAGATAGAGGTTCTTAGTGAGGTGGATATGAAGAGAAATGACAAGACTATGTCAATTTTTTTAGAGGTTTTTGCTATAGGCTGCATGCGCTCGCCAGACAAAGAGAGACAGAGAGACATAAAGAGAGAAATCACCCCCCAGTGGGGATGGCCATGCCACAATCCCATCTCCTCCATTCTCCTCTCAGGATCTTGGGCATGCACGCACACGTGCCCAGCGTGAGTTTTAAGCCACTGGGTCCGGGATGCGAACCACGGTCGACTACATGGGAGTTCAGCAACATAGCCATTATGCTAACTGCTGGTCCAAAGACTACGTCAATTTTGTAAACAAAATACATGTTTTTTGTTTGTTTTTTTTTTTTTGTGGTTTTTTTTTTGGTCAACTCCTTGTCAGCCTATTTCCTAGAATAACACTGCATTATAGGATAAGTACCACTCTGCTTATCCTATAAGTACTTCTCATACTCCATATTAGAAGGCAACTTTGGGGTTAGTCTTGTAACCTACCAGTGAAGGAAGCAAATCCCACATGACTGACCATAGCTCGAGTTTTTGGACTCAATGGCTTGAAAAACATCCTGGGTGCCTGTGTATGCTTGCCCCAAATCCCAAGAGAATGGAGAAATGAAAGAAAAGAAATTTTGTCATGATCATGCCCCATGGAAGGAGTGTTTCCTTCTACTCTCTCTCTTTCTGGAGAGTGTACACATACCTTCTAGTAATTACATTTTTTAAATTAAAAAATTTTAAAAATTAGAAAGCAACTCTGAATCCAGGTTGCATCAGTTATAAACTGTACTATTTTCATCAAGTTATTGAACTTCTCTAAGTCTTAGTTTTCTCATCTGTAAAATGTAGTTAACAATAGCACTTACACCCAATTAAATGAGATTATTTATGTAAATGCACTCTCAAGTACCTGGTATATATTGAATCATCGTAAAAGTCATGATGCATTTTTGCATAGAAAAACAGAAAACTACATCATGACTTTTCTGATGACCCAACAGTAAGCACTCAACAAATAACATGAATAATGAGGGTAAGGTGGACAATGATGAATATTGGTACCAATGTTGTCGAATTATTCCCTGCTAGGGAGTGTTTTTATTCCCAATATCCCCACTGCCTCACCAAGTCTTATTTATCCTTTAGTAGCCAGTGCAGGTCATGACCTCAAAGATCATTTTCTTTTTCTATTTCTTTGAAAAGGTCGGTTGTTTCCACTTAGTAGTAGTTGCCTATTTTCTGTAACTGGATGTTAGTATTTGTTATCTTGTGTTATACATATTAGGGTTTAAGCCTTTAACTGGAATAAACCTTAGAAAGACGTTTCTACTGTTGACCAGTTATGCAATTCTGGGTAGTCACATTTCCTCTCTAGATCTCAGATTCTTAATTGTTTTTATGCATTCCATATAATAATACAGTGACCATTTTGCAAGTTGTGAAATCACACATGGATATGATTAAACGTGATATCTTATTTGTCTACTCTTCCACCTAAATACAGAGAGTAAAGTAAAATTAAGACAGAAAAAGCAGAAGAGAAGGATGTGGATTTCCTGCCTCTGGCTATTTCCCCCTGTTGTACAATTGCATCATTTTCATGAGTTGCTACAAAAATCCACTTGTCACTGCAAGCCCCAGCTGTCAGGGGCAAAGAAGAAAGGCACATGAAAAAGCTGGCAAAAGCTGTGGCCTGAAGTTTTATTCAGAGCCTAAAACAAAGCTGTACATATTGAGTGCAGAACTATAATAGCTATAGCTGCCAAAACTGTCTACCAGAGCCTACCTGAGTGGCAAGCAGGGAGTGAAGGCAATTGTTCAGAGATCTCGGCAGTGAGCTGCAACACACTGAAATCGCAGCATGTCAACCATACAGCCCTTCGACACGGTCTCTGTTGTGAGTGGGTGCAGAGTGGGAGCCTAGGAGAGAATGCTTAGCAGTAGACTGTTTGCAATGAAACAGGATTCAGAACATTGCAGCTTTCAATAGTGAGACGAAGCTATACATGAAACATCAGTGCATGTGCGTCTCTATGTGTGCACACAAAAGAATGAGACCTCAGCCTACAGTCCTAGAATTAGCTGAAATCTGAAATATCTAACGCATTGCTTCCCAAGTGGGGACCATTTTACTACCCCAAAGGAAATCTCTCATTGTTATTGGAATCAATAACTGCTATTGGAGTCAAGTGAGTAGAGGACAAGACTAAACATCTTTCAGAAATACCACCCCACAAAAATATTAGACCCAATATATCAGTGGTGCAAAAGTTGAAAAATAACTGTTCTAATCAAGCTCCTTTCTGGAGACCTTGATAAAACATAAATAGAACACACAGGGGACTTAAAGAACTCAACAACAACAAACAAACAAAAACTAATACAGTTAAAAAAATAGGAAAATGATCTGAATGGAAACTTCATTAAGAAGACTTACAAATGCCCAAAAGTACATTTAAAAAGGTCAACATCATTTATTGTCAGGGAAATGGAAATTGAAATTGCAGTGAGATGGCATCTCACTTCAGATAAAATGGCTATCATCAAAAAGGCAAAAGTTAACAAATGCTGGCAAGGAGATGTGGGAAAAGGGGAGCTCTATTTTTTTTTTTTTTTTTCAGTTTTTTTGCTATAGGGCATGTGCACTAGCCGGAGAAAGATAGAGAGAGGGAAAGGGAGAAATAACTTCCTCAAGGGGGATGCCCATGCTACAATCCCTTCACCTACATTTCATCCAAGAATTTTGGGCATGCACACACACCTGGCATGATTTTCAAGCCAGTGGTTCAGGACTCCAACTGTACAGTGGGCCATATGGGAATCTAGCATATTAAGCTCCACTCTACCTGCAGGCCCCAAGGGGAACTCTTTAATGCTGCTAGTAGGAACATAAATTAGTGCATAAATTGGATCTGTAATCCAATGTTTACTGCAGCTTTATTTATAATAGATGAGATGTGGAACCAACCACGTAGCCGACCGCGGTTCGCGTCCTGGACCCGGTGGCTTAAAACTCACGCCAGGCGCGTGTGCGTGCGTGCCCAAGATCCCGGGAGGAGAATGGAGGAGAAGGGATTGCAGCATGGCCATCCCCCCGGGGGGTGATTTCTTCCTTTCTATCTCTCTGTCTCTCTCTGTCTGGTGAGCGCACACTCCCTATAGCAAAAACCTCTCAAAAAAAAAATAAATAAGAAAAGAAAATATGGCATATTTACACAATTAACTACTGTTCGACCACTAAAAAGAAAGAAATCCTGTCATTCGAGGCAACATGGATGAGACTGGAATAAGCCAGACACAAAAAAAGAAAAATCACATGTTTATAACTCACATGTGGAAATTAAAATAATGACCTCATAGAAGTAGAGAATAGAATAGTGATTACCAGATGGTGAGAAGAACGGAGGATGATAGAAGGATGTCAGTTAACAAGTATAAAATTAGAGTCAGATAAGAGGAATAAATTCCAGTATATATAGTAAAGTAGGCTAACTATAGTTAACAATAATTTAATGGACATATCAAAATAGTTAAAGGAAAGGATTTTGAATGTTCTCAGCACAACATAATGATAATAGCTGAGATGGTAAATATGCTAATTACCCTAATTTGATCTTTACTTATTGTATTTATATACTGAAAAATCATATTCTATCTGGTAAATATGTACAATTATTATGTCGATTAAAAATATATGAAGTGAGAGGCCAGAAGGTGGCAAAGGGGTTAAAGTACTGGACTCCCACATGGTCAACCATGGTTCAAGTCCCAAACCTAGCAGCTTGAAAATAATTTTAGGCATGTGTGTATGAGTGCCCAAAATCCTGAGAGGACAATGGAGGAGAAGGGACGTCATGGCCATTCCCGCTGCGAGGGTGATTTCTCAATTTCCCTCCATTTGTCTCTCTCTGTCTCTCTTTGGCAAGTGCACCTTCCCTAATGGCAAAATTCTAAGTACATACACACACACACACACACACACACACACACACATACACATCACTTATGTGTATATACAGTGTGGGGTCATACTTATGAAAGAACAATTTTCGTTTGAAATATGCCACATAAATAATGTATCAGAAGAGTAAAGTCCAATGGAAATAAAAAGGGTGGAGA